TATATATATATATATATATATGAAGAAAGAAATTCAGATTACCAACACACAAACAGAAAATGTCTCATATCGAGAATATTTAACATTGAACATGAGGAAAAATTAATTATTTTTAATAATATGTGGAAATCTCCACTTTTACCTGAAGACGGTCGCGAGACCAGAAACACGTGTTGTAAAATTATGTAAAACAAGGCATAATATTTTTTCTAAATAAATCCACATTACAAATCAAAAACGTTTGCGGCACCTCTCTTCTTTCTTTTTTAATATATATACTTTTCTCTCGTTGGAACCACTACAACATATTTCTTTTATATATATATAGATAGATATATATATATATATATATATATATATAGCATCAGATCGATACTTGAAGATTCTTAAAGAGTTATCAGTACTTTCCTTTTATTTACAAATATCAATTTTGAAATGGAGCTTACGCCATTGATGACATTAATGACCTTTTCCAAAATCGTATTGTACGCAATTATCAATGACTTAAGCACACTTTCAAACATGACATTTGTAAATGAAAAAAAAGTACAAATAACTCTTTAAGAAAGAGATCGATTTGATACTGCATTTATATTATGAACAGGCCCCCACCTTCTAAAATTATAAAAAAAAATCAATATTTTTCGATTCTGACTAATGTCTTTGGTAGAAGAAAGGTATAATTAATGTTAATCTTTTTTAATCATTTCACCCAAATCAAGGCAATAAAGCCACTAAGACGCAAAGTGCTACTAAATGTTAGAGAATATGAAAAAAGAAAATCATTATTAAAGAGAGAGAACAATAAAAGAACAAGAATTAAGAAGACAGAAGATAACAATTGATATGCCATTTAAATTTTTGAAGATCTAAATTGACTGGGAAGCAAGAAGCCGGAAAGTTCCACAAGCGAGAAGTACGATTGAAGAAACTGTTAGCGTAGAACTTACGGTTATATCTAGCCATTTCAACTGTAAAATGATGAGACCTAGCCGCCAATCTAGTACTGCGCTTAAATCCATAAAATCTAAGTACTAAAGAGGAAAGCTCTCCATAACAATTACTATGAAAGTATTTATAGAAAAGTCCCATTGAAAATACGTTATATCGGTGCGAAAGTGGCTGAAGCCAAGATTCCAGGTTAGGACCAATAAAATTGCAGATTCTTCTTTGAATTTTATCAAGACTTTTTAAATATATAGCAGGATCACCAGACCAGATATGGTAGCAAAATTCAAAGCAAGTATAAACGGTAATCTACAAAAATTTACAACTAATTTATTCGGACGATCAATTGATGAATTCGACACGGAACCAATATGATGCAGCATCTTACAACTTAGCCCCCGAGAAACACACACATACGATTAGAAATCAAGGAAAACAAAGAAATTAGTTTTTAGATAAACGAATTCAAATAATGACCGTTACTTTTTATTTTATTTCTTTCTATTCTATTTTATTTTTTGGTTAGAAAGTGCAGCACTTTGTTGGATTGGATAAGCGACTGGAACCAATTCTTTACTAAACAATGCCGCCTTATCACATGCGCCAATCACATACTAAGTGAGCAGTCATGACTTATGACGTCACGATTAACCTGCCGTTCAACATTTTGTTTCTCAAGGAAAGTTTTACCAAATCCCTCAAGAGGGCGCTTGCAGCCAACAATAGGCGCGCTCTCTCTAATGAAATTTTCATGACGCCGAAAGAACGCTGATGTTAGGTGAAAGCTAATCAGCATCAAACGAGAATAAGAAAATCCGATTATCTTGCCTAGGATGCAAACTTAACGGCAGAAGGCGTTAGAGTGCATACATTCAACACTGACTCGTGAAGTTGAATAAATCGATGAATCATGAACAATCTTTTCATTCATTAAAATCAAGTATTTAAACGATTTAAAAGGATAAAAACAGTTCAAGAACGGAACGATTACTTTGCTGTAAATCACACTTACCCCCTTGTGCAAATTAATTGAAACAAAACGAATAATTCCGTTATTATTTCCTTTTTTTTTTTCGTATTTGGGAGAAATAGCAAATGTTGGACGATTTCCTCAAAGATGAAGAAGAGACTCAAGGCAACAGAGATGTGTTTCTACAGAAGGATGCTAAGGATATCATGGACCGAGCAACTTGAGCAACGATGAGATCTTAGAGGGGTTTCAAACAAGGAAAAGGCAGCTTACAAACAAGTAGAAGGCTTATACTTAACATAAGAAAGAACAGCTGAAGTTTCTGGGACACATAATGAGTAAGGAGGGCCTGGAGAATCTGATACTCACGGGTCGAATAAAGGGAAAGAGAGACAAAGGAAAGCAGCGCGTGACATACCTGATGAGCAGGTGGATGACAGCACGCGGCCTGGGGGGGGGAAGCAGAGAGAAGGGACTTGTTGAGAGCTGCAAGGGATTGAAAGAGGTGGAAAAGACATGGCACAGAAAAAAAGAACAAAAAGACAAAACTTATTAAGAATTACAAGGAAAAGGAAGATGTGGAGGGCTATGATCACCTACGCCCAGAAGGGACACGAGACATAAAAGAAGAATGTTCGAGTATAATGCTATAGAGATATGCAAGAGCATTTGTAGGGTTATGGTTAAAGAGTCTAACAAAACATCCACACGTCAGATACTTTCATGATATGGCTGTAGAGCATCAGTTAATGTTTATATATACTTGGACACAAGTGTTACAATCCAAAAAGCTCTGTTGGATTTTGACAAAATAACCTATGTAAGCTGGTAACATACGCCCACCAGTTTACACACACACACACACACACACACACAAATATATATATATATATATATATATATATATATATATATATATATATACATTGAAGTCAACACTCAGAGGCGACAGGCTGTTTCATTCTGGACGCAATCGTCAGGCCGCCTTTTTATGTTTATATTTACATACGTTCTATCTCTGATATTGAGCACTTTATCCCATAAATATAGCACACCTTAAAACTATATTTCTTCATATATATATATATATATATATATATATATATATATATATATATATATATATATATATATATATACATCCCTGTGCAAATTAATTGAAACAAAACGAATAATTCCGTTAATATTTACTTTTTCGTATTTTTCCAATGAAACATAACCCAGTGCACATATTAGTACTTCGAATGTCCATTCCACGAAGTCGTTCCTTGCAGATTGACCACAGATTCTCGATGGGGTTTAAATCAGGAGAGTTTCTGTGCTAGTCTATAGTACTTTGATTTGCTCATTGGTAAGGCTTGCCAGTGTGTTCGTACAGAGTTATAATTTTCGTACGCTTCCTTGGAGTAACGTCTATCGCAGACAATGGCCGTAGGACAAGTAATCGACAGTAGAGACAATAGTGTCTAGGCGTGATGAAAATCTGATGTAATCACGGATGACGCAATATTTTTCAAGGCCAAAGATATTTCTCCACACACCCCGAAAATAGATTCATACTACGGCACACCACTGCAAATGACCTAATCTGAGAAAAAAAAATAGAAATCGATGACACCCTATCACTCCATTGGCTCTAAAACTGGCCGTATGGTGAAAGAAAGAAAACTAAAGAAGTTGTTTCAATTAATTTGCACAAGTGTGTAGAATAATACATGAAAAATATTTTTTCTTGATAAAACAACGGATGTAACTCTTAACTTAAACATCTTCGGATTGGATGCAGTGAATTGGGGTACATATGAAAATGGTGTATAAAAGAAAAAGACAATAGGAAAACTGTAGTATTTGCCGACGCGTTTCGTCCAATGTGAACCTTTTCAAGGCAAAAAATGAAATTAATTTATTGAAACAAAGTTTCTATTAACAAACAAAATGTCGTTAGCAACTAGAAGAATTTAGAAACGTTATTGTATATTCATATGGTCAACTGAAAACTATGTCAATTACTTTACATTTGTAAATAATATTTTCAAGTGTAAAAATATCGTATGTATTCATACGATATTTGCTGGATTCAACCATTTTCTTTTGATTTCTTGATATATTTGTTGTGTACGTTAGCTTGGGAAAGTAGTGATTCTGTTAGAAAAGATGATATTGGGGAAAAAGCTGAGCGTAGATTAATATTTGGATAATATTCAATGGCAGCACTCTCGAGGATTTTCCTTCTGAGTGATTTTTTTTTCCTTTTTATAGATACTTCGTTTCAATAAATTCATTTCGCTTTTTTTGTCTTGAAAGGTCCACATTAGACGAAATGCTCCGGCAAAAACTACGGTTTTTCTATTATCTTTTTCTTTTATACAACATTTTTATGTGTAGCCCAACTCACTGCATCCAAGCAATGCAGAACTTGGAGAGGTGAATTAACAGGAGATAACTGATAACTGACATCCTAGCACGTGGAACTAGAACAGACTACCACAGTGAGCGAAATAAAATGTTCAATTCGACATTCCAACCACCTGAAGAAGGCCAGAGCGTACAACAGCCTAAACGCTGTGATTAATTTGGTTTGTGAATAATTGTCAACCTGAATTCAAACAAATCGTAAAATATGAACAAATTGGAAGAATTTTTTTATTATTAAGTGTTACTGTTTTTGTACTTAAGGAGCCGTGTTTCAATCAGTATAATTTCTAATACTAACGAATCTGTTAGAATTCGACTGGAACACACTTAAGTAGGTTTCCTTTTAAAATGGGAATTGCAAAACGGGATTCGTTAATAAAAATTCAGTGAAACTGAACACTTGATGGCTTACGGGGTTTGTTTTTACATTCCTTTAAAATGCCATTTCACTTCAGGACGTAAATGATCACGGCTTTCCACAGCTTCCTTTTCTTTTTAATATCGGTGAACTGCCATGATTGACGTATGAGATTGTCAGAGTGATATGCTAAGTAATTGCCCTTCACAGCATTTCTCAGAACAATGGAAATCAATTGACGATGCCCATCTCCTCTCCAAATAACATGCGACAAGTTGTACTAAGTAACATGGTACAGATAATATGTAGAAGATTCTCTCTCTCTCTTTCTTTCTTTCTTTCTTTCTCTCTCTCTCTCGCGCGCGCGCACGCGCACACACTCCCATTCCGCCTCCACCTCCAGAACATATCAATATGAAAATGTCAACTTTAGCCAGAGACTACATTAAACTTGGTGCGAGTTCGTGATAAAACTGACCTAATCTATTCTTGGGAAACTTAGCCAAGTAGTTTCCTGTTGACAGCTTCACGGTTTTGAATTCAGAGATACCATTCTCCTAGATTATCTGCCATCAAAGACTATAGAGCCCAGTCTATATTGCTATTTAATCAGTTGCTTGTGGGGAGAAGACCCATGCATTTACCACGAGCGAAAGTGAATGCAACGACTTAGGCCGGATCCTGAAATCATGACTCACATTCGGTGCATGTGCCTTGGATCAAATCATCCTCTGCGTAATCGGGCTTCATGATCTGACTCGAATAAAGCCTGTTAACTCATCAAGCTTATGTTATTAGTAAGCAGACAGATTTGACATTCTTATTTTCTCAACGGGTGCTGGGAAAAAGATATGAAAAAATAACCAGAAGTAAATTTCCTATTGATCTTTCTCACTTTCTCTCTCTTTACCTCTCACTCTCTATGTTTCTTTCTCTCGAGCTCTCTCTTTCGCTTTCTCTCTTTCGCACTTTCCCTCTCTCTCTCTCGAGCTCTCTCCCTCTCTTTCTTTCTCTCTATCTTTCGCCTTTTATCCCTCTTTCTTTCTCTCTTTCGCATTTTGTCTCTCTTTCACTTTTTCTCTTCATCTTTCTTTTTTCTTTCTCTCTCTCTCTTCTCTCTCTCTCTCTCTTTATCCCTTTCGCACACGTTCTCTCACTTTTTCTCTCTCTGTCACACTTTCTCTCTCTCTCATTCTTTCTCTTTCTCGCATTTTTCTTTCTCTTACTCTTTTTCTTTGTCTCTCTCTCATTCTCTCTCGAACTTTCTCTCTCTCTCTCTCTCTCTCTCTCTCTCTCTCTCGTATTCAAAATGGAAGCCTGGCTGCTATTAAGATAGGAACCTGAGGATGTACCATAAATCCTTCATCAAAACTAAATAAACATCAATTACGAAACAAGCACGATCATTTCTTTTAACGAGAACGAGGCTTACGGCCATATAACGTTGAAACACCGGTTCCCGTACAATCATCGAAGTTAAGCAACGGTAAGCCTGGTCAGTATTTACATGGGTGACCGCTTTGGAAAAGCAGGTGCTGTAAGCTTGGGTGGGCGGGTTTTGTAATGGATAACGTCACGGAAATGTTAATTGGAGAGCTAAGTTCCAATTCCAATCGGGTTCGTCATATTCACTTACACGCAAATAACCTCTTCTTCCCCCATCTATGGGTTAATTAGTAAGACTTTTATCACTAAACCATTATTATCTAAAAAAAAATCTTCCAATCTAAAATCTGAACCAGACACATAAACGCTCAAAAGAAGACAAAACTTAATAAAAGAGCATAACAAATTTGTCGCCATTTTCATACAGAAGTTTCATTTAAAATGGGACAAAAAATAATACAATTTACTGAAGAGTTTTCCTTTCTCCATATTTTAGTTCGGTTTCCATTTTGAAATTATTCATGTTCTGAAACTGGGCGGTTGATTAATATCCAAAACAGATTCATTTATGAGAAGGACCTGAAACACGCTAGATGCTTGGAACTTGCGGCTACGTTCACTTGATGAATTTAAAATAAAATGAGGAGGTTTAATTACGTGTATATACTACGAAAGACAGAGCCAAATAGGAAGGGGTAAACTGCCAAGATTGAAAACCAAGAGGAGATTACTCACTATAAATGCGCAGTAGTTTTTAGATAGATAGATAGATAGATAGATAGATAGATAGATAGATAGATAGATAGATAGATATGAAAAGAATGAGAGATTGCAAGAAAGAAATGAACAGATTGAGAAAGAAAGAAAGAAAGAAAGAAAGAAAGAAAAAAAAAGAAAATAGATAGATAGATAGATAGATAGATAGATAGATAGATAGATCTATCAGTTACTGTTTTGTTGCGTTAAGAAATAGGAATATCGTATTTTTTTATAATGCCATGCTTTTTCCTTGGCCATAATTGCAAGCAATGAGAGACTAACTGGTCTGTAGAAACAAGTTGCACTTGGATCGTCTGTCCCAAAAACAATGAACAATTTTTAAAGCCTGAAAATATTTTATTTTATATAATTCGTGCTTCATTCTTTTTCCAAAGGATATTTACAAAATGTCATAGAGTTTAATCCTCTCTGAAAAAATCGTGTCTCTTACGTATAACAAATCCTACGAAAAACTATCGACTTTTTAAATGCTTTCCTGATTCAAGGCACTGGTTGTATATTTTAAAAATGGCTTCTATACAGTTTATCTCATTAATTCATGAGTGCTATATTAGGAGACACCAAAATATTTCTCGCCCAAGGAGAGGATATCTGTCCCTCAAACAATATCTTCACATTACACTGGAAGCTGTGAGGTCAGAGACATGGCCTGATGTTCGCAGCAATGACCGAAGGGCCTAAATGAATTTGCATAAATCTCTCGTTTATTCCCATTCACTCTATCTCTTTCTCTTTCGCTTGTTCGCATTCTATCTCTTTCTTTTCGCTTCTTTTCATTCTCTTCTCCTCTCTCTCTCTCTCTCTCTCTCTCTCTCTGTCGCTTGTTCCCTTTCTCTCTCTTTTCCTTTTGCTTTCGCTTCTTTCCATTCTATCGCTTTCACTTCCGTTTTTTTCATTATCTATCTCGCTATCTCACTCTATCTCTCTCTCGCTTATTTCCATTTTATCTCTTTCTCTTTCGCTTCTTTTCATTCTCGCGCTTTCCATCACTCTCTCTCTCTTTCGCTCTCTCTTTCTCTCTCTTGTTCCCATTCTCTCTATATCTTTCTCTTTCGCTTATTTCCATTTCTCTCTCTCTCTCTCTCTCTCTCTCTCTCTCTCTCTCTCGCTTGTTCCTATTTCTTCTATCTTGTAGTCTTCTCATTTTTTTCTCTCCTTCCTCGGTTGTTCCAATTCTGTTTCTCTCTCTCTCTCTCTCTCTCTCTCTTTCACGCTTTCCTATTCTCTCTGTCTCTCTTAATCTCTTTCTCTCCATCACGCTTGTTTCCATTCTCTCTCTCCCTCTCCTGTTCTTATTTTCTCTCTCGCTTATTCCTATTCGCTCTCTCCCTCCTCTTTCTCTCTCTCTTTCTCTCTCTCTCTCTCTCTATATATATATATATATATATACTCTCTCTCATATATATATATATATATATATATATATATCACTTGCTTTCTCCTGTTCTCTCTTTCCCGCTTTCTCTTGTTCCTGCTCTCGCTTCTTTTCATTGTCTCTCACTCTTGCTTCTCATAATTCTTTCTCTCTCTCTCTCTCTTTCATTCTTTCTCTCTCTCTCTCGTTTGTTCTTATTCTGTATGTCTTTTTTTTTCATCCTCTCACTTTCTCTCTCTCTCTCACTCTCTTTTTTTCTTTCTCTCTTTTTCTCTCTTGTACCCATACTCTCATTCTATCTATCTATCTATCTATCTATCTATCTATCTATCTATCTATCTATCTATCTATCTATCTATCACTATTTCTCTTCCCTACCATTGAAGGCATCAGTATTAAACAGTCAACCTCCGACATTGAAGTCTACTTGAGACTTGGTGCGAATTCGTGACAAAAATGGCTATGAATCTCAAGTTACTGCATAAACATTTTCAACTTGTCTTTCTCCAAACTATTAATGCGGAAATGACATCTGCAGCCAAGATTATAATTTGAACCCTTTGCATCGATCTCGTTCCCAACTCGCCACCAGCTACATCAAATCACACCTCTACCATCTCCAAACTTTATTCTCCAACAACCATCAACTACAATGCTTTAAAAAAAGAACGTAACTATTATTTCTCCACCAATTTTGAGTCCCAGTTTCTCACCCACGTGACTGTTTCTCACACTGCAGGCTTCCTCTTCTTTTTCTTCCAGATTTTCCCCGTTGTTATCCTCGCTTTAACAATGAGATTAAGGCAAGAACTTCCGGATTGCGTAAATTCCAAACGATAAAAATCTTTCATCTTATCCGCTTCGTATTTAATCAGCTAAAAGTGCCGGTAAGCCCATAATTCTATTTTGTTCAATTCTTTTACTTTTTCTTTCTTTCTTTTCCTTTTTTTCTTTTTTTTTTTTTTTTTTTTCCATCAGTCTTTCTTTTTTTATGAATCTCTCCTTTTTATCAATATCATTATCAGTCCAAAACGTAATTTTCCTTCTCACTAATGAGCCCCCCTCCACCTCTATATTTGTCAATGAGTACATGTGTACCTCTCTTTCATTCTCTCTATCACTTTTAATAATTTCTCTCTGTAATTTATTCGCTTTCTCTTTCTGGCAGATTTTATTTCACTTTCAGTCATTCAGTTGACCATTTCATTCTCTCTCTCTTTCTCATTTTCTAGCTTTCTCTTTCTCACTCTCTCTCTCCTCTCTCTCTCTCTCTCTCTCTCTATATATATATATATATATATATATATATATATATATATATATATATATATAACCTCAATCTCGTTCTCTATCTCTTTCTTTATCTGTCTCTTTTCTTTCACTATCTCTCTATATATATACATAACCTCTCCCTCTCTTTTTCTCTCTCTATCTCTCGTTCTCTCTCTCTCTATCTCTCTTTCTCTCTCTCTCTCTATATATATATCCTCTCCTCTCCCCCCTCTCTGTCTTTTTCCCTCTCTCTATCTTTTTCATTATCATCTTTTCTCTCTTTTTCCTCTCTTTAACTCTCACTATATTTTCTCTCTTTCTCTCAATTTCTCTTCCTCTCTCTCTCTGTGTTCCTGTTTATCTAACTATTTCTCTCTCTCTCTCTCTCTCTATATATATATATATATATATATATATATATATATATATATATATATATATATATATATATATATCCTTCTGTGTATGGTATATTCTTTTACGGTTAATATTTTCCTATAATATTGTTTTTTTTCTAATTTCCTCTCTCTCTCTCTCTCTCTCTTTTCTTCTCTTTTTTCTCATTTTCTTTTCTTTTTCACTTCCTTTTTTCCCTCTTACCTCTCATCCCTGGACAATGACCTTCGAAATGATTCCTTCTATTCATACCTTACCCCACATCTCCTTCACCCACAGGATCAATCCGGGTGCATACGCGCTTAAACAGCTTCAGTCAAGGAAAAAAAGGGTGCACTAGGTACTTGCCCCACCATTAGCTAATCAATATGAAATCATTGAATTGGACCCATTTCGCTGACGGAGTGGCTGAAAAGCGAAATCTGCAAGCAGTTCATTCTTCTGTTTTATGTTAGATTACAGTCATTACCATTTATTGTCCACTGCTTAAGGAACCCAAGTCAATATCGTAACCTTTCAAATTCGCATCGCGATTACAATCACTTCAAGGCGTCGAAAAGCTGATATCAAACGATGGTAAAAATCTTCATAAGAATTTTTTCTAAGCATTTCACCCCAAGCAAGGTGGGATGCCACTAGTACGCAGAGAATGGGAGCGAGAGTAAAGAGGCGTGATAGAGGAAAGGATGAGGAAAAGGACAAGGAATAGATGTCGATTGACATTACATTTAAATAGTTGGAGATTATAGCTATTAGGGAAACAAGTAATAGGAAGCGAATTCCACAGAGGGGAAGTGCGAGACATGAAGCCTATATGAGTAAAAGAGACGGCTACATTTAATCGTTTCGACAGTGAAAGTGTGGGACCGAGATGCCAGCCTAGTAGCACGTCTGAATTCATGCATAGGGACTAACGAAAATAGCTCGTTGGAGGAGTTACCATGAAAGTATTTGTAGAAAAGACAGAGGGAGGTGACGGCACGCCTGTGCGAGAGCGACTATAGACGAGATACCAGATCAGGGCCAGTCACATTGCATATCTATCTCTGGATTTTTTTTCAAGGACCTTAAGGCGAACAGCAGGGGCACCCGACCATATATGGCAACAGTATTTCATGCAAGGGTGAATGGTTGATTTATAGATTTGAATGAACAGATTGAGATAGACGAAAGAAAACGAAATTAGTTTTTATTAATTACTACCCAGCGTAGCACAAAAAGATCTCTGAATAATAGTTTATTATTGAAAATGTATTCATATTTTTCAGGCATCTTATGGAAAATAATTGTTTATTCAATCTTTAAAAAATAAACTTCATTGTTTTTATTATTTGTAACAAAATAACTAAATTTAGAAAAATACCACACTACCAATACCACGCTCGGAGGGAGCGGAAACTTAGGGAGCTGAGTATCCCCATATTTTTATTCAAAAAACACTTTAATTTAAATAAAATATCAAAATCTAAATTCCCCTCCAAAATAAATAGTAAATAATTATTTTTCGAAGAAGTAAGGCTCGCTATCGTTTTTGCTTAAAAAATGACTAAAATAAATGTTTTATTATATCTTGATTTAAGCTTATTTACTTTATTTAGATGTTTTTATGTAAATAACGTTTTACTTTTAAACATTAGATTAAAGAAGCAAACATTTCTCCGTAAATGAGTTTAATTACTATTTTGAAAGAGAGTTGAAGCAAGATACATTGAGAATTTAGTTTTGAAAAGCGATTATGTTTAAATTTCAAGTAATATTTGTATTTGTAAAAAAGAAATAAACTTTAGTAAAAAAAATAAAAATTAGAAGAGGCAGACATGAGTTAAGGTCAAAATTCGTCGTGTTGAATATTTGTTTTACAAAATTTAACTATATTTTATTTAAATTAATTTCCAAAAAAATAAGGCTTGCTATAGTTTTTTGCTTTAATAAAACTTAAGTTGAAATTATTTACTCTTTATGTTAGTTACAAACCAAAAAAAAAACAATGGAGTTTATTTTTAAGATTGAATACAAGAAATTATTTTCCATAAGATGGCCGAAAAATTCAATACAGTATAACCCGGATATAAGAGAGTTGTCGGGACCGGAAAAGAGGTCTCTTATATCCGGGTTTTGTCTATTTTATATACTTTAACACAGGCTCTAATTTGGGACCAGAGAAAATCTCTCTTATATCCGGGTTTCTCTTATATCCGGGTATCTTATATCCGGGTTACACTGTAATACACACATACAGAGAGAGAGAGAGAGAGAACTGCCCTTTACTGTGATACTTAGTCTGTATATATATATATATATATCTATTTTGTCGTTAATTATTGTAGATTTTTAGTTTTAGCCGGACTCACACACACACACGAATATTTGAATGAATATATTTTAAACCTTTTGTCAAATAATTGTATTTAATATTATTATTCTTTTAAATTTAAATTGTTGTCTTAATATTCATCTTTTTGAAGTTAAGCTTTTATTTACTATAGATGCGAAAATAAATTCAAGAAAATAGAAATTTTAAAAATACATACATGTTTTGCGTTCGAAAGTATCAGCAGAATTAAAATGTAAAAACGAACAGTAATAATAATAGGGAATAAGAATTCTTACCGTTCGTTTTTACTTTTTAATTCTGAGAATTTCGAATGCATTTTAATTTTAGAATAACTTCGTAAATGCAAATCATACGATGATAATTTTTTTTATAAAACGCTGGCTTGGGTGATAATGAATCTGTATATATAATTATTTTGTCGATATTATTGTAGTTTTCTTTATTTTAGCCGGACACACACACAGATAACTGTCCTTTATATATGTATAGATTAAAAAACTTACATAAAAAAACATAGAAGGACTGATATTACGTAACAGTTCAGTTCTCTTATCTTTTTTTCTAACGAAATTTTCCTGTTTCTTAATACTTTGCTCAGCTTTTGGAAGCCAATTTTCTCTATCCCAATAAATCTGCTGCTTTCAGTGTCGTATTTTCCGTCCTCTGTTAAAACACTTTCCACAGTTTTAAATTGTTGCCCTGGTTTGATTTTGGTATTTTCGTTTTCCAATTTGCATATGTAGCTGTTTCCATTACCTTAAATAAAGAATGGACCTTTCCTGTTTGATTGCTAGAATAGGCAGAAGAAAATAGATCTCAAATATGCTGTATGATCTTAGCAAAAGAAAGAGAAAGCGATAACACTCTTATATTTTTAGCATCTGCTTCAGTGAAATAGAAAACCTACTCACTCTTTTCACTTGTATTCTCATACATCTTTAAATGATCACATGCATTCATCTTTATATTTGTTATTGTGATATTTTCTTAAAGTTCTTAACTTCAAATATTTAACGTGACAATAGGAGAACTTCAATGGTTATTGTGTAGTCGTGCAATTCGCAATGGGCTTATTTAGTCTTTAACTTAAGAATTTCATCAGAAAATTCAAATAGGAAAAACTATGAAATATTCACTGGTATTGCTAGTAATTTTTCAGACAATTGTTTATACTATTTTAAATATGTATAAGAGGTTTTATAAAAAAAAAAAAAAGCATATGGTGCTTTCCAAAAGCTAAGCAAAGTATAAAGAAACAGAAAAAGTTCGTTAGAAACGCAGAATAATGTTGAAATAATTGGTAAATTAATTTCAGTAGAAAATGACAAAACAATCAATGGAATATTATCGGAATAGTATCTAAATTCATTTTCTAAGACACCTTATGAATCTTAAGCCTGGAATGAACATTCTGACGGCCGATTAATC